TCACTATGTCTTGCATGAAATAATATCCATCTTAAGATAATCAATATTGTTAAATAATCAATCCCAATGTAAAATCCATTCAGAAAGAAAACATTTGGAAGATTATTACTCTTCTTGGCTGTGGGTTTATGCTGAGAAAACCGTTGGCAACTACTGAGGTAACTTTGAAGTGCAATAATGGTATTCTTGCTTTCTGGTTAAGGCCTTATTCAGACATTAACACTGTGTGACGAAACTCAGCCACAGATTTCAGTTTGTTTCAGTGGCTTAAATGCAGGGTTTTATGGCAGAAAGGTTGCTCAACTTGTAGTAAAACACTATGGGCCAGTCAAATATGTGTAAGTGTTCCTATTTTCTTGTAATTGTGGAGACAGTGGATAAAACGATTGTTGCCATGGTAGCTTGTAAACTCTAGACTTCTATCTGACCTTGAAATCCTGTCACATAATATTATAAAAGTATAAGTATTTTGTTGTCTGGTAAGCCTTCAAATCTAGGGATATGTTATTCAAATCGAAATTCAGAATACTCGAAAAGTTGCCTTTCACCGCTGTTTATAGCTGCCACTCTGCTCTGTGCAGACTTAAAGAATGAACACCAGTTTTCTAACACTTTTCTGGTTTATTGTAGCTCAGAAACACATGTCTGTCAAATTGACCTGTTAGCTAACAATGTGACTCAATGTTACTTAACAGGTGAAGGCTATGGAGTCAAGAGTGTAGGGAGAGTTAGTCTGCAGCAGATTGAGACCCGGAGCAGCGAGAGCAGGACAGACAAGGCCAGAGCAGATCACAAGTTAAAGGTAATGATCCTGGGTTTGAAGAGCAGACCCTCCAGAGCCAGACCAAGACCCGTCAGAGTATGCAGCTCAAAAAGAGACGGAGTTCAAGAGAATTCTTACCAGGCGCATCTACCGCCAGAGGTTCAGGGCAATCACTGGATTACCTGCCAACAGACAGACCAAACCTCCAAACCAGGTGTAAACAACAGAGTGACTGAGTCAGGAAAGTCCTCCACTGTGGGTGTGAGGGAGCACAAAGCTCTTAAAAAAGTGCCTAACACACCTGTTGGTTCCACAAGGAGGAAGGAGTTTGACATTGTGACTCCCAAAAACAAAAACATGAGGGGTCGGCAAGAAGTGGGAGCAGCAGAATGTAGACCTACTAGTCCAGGAAGTCCGTACAGAAGCCAAAAAGGTAACTAATCTATATAGACGACAAACCATAGGTTGTACAGTCTGAGCAATAAGTGCATGTTCATTACAGTGTTGATTAGCATGCTCTTAAAGTTATTTCTGGAGAAGGTTGAACACAATACATTACAAATTGGAACAATTTAGCTAGACAGGAGTGTGTCTTTAATGCTCTTTTTTTTTTTTTACAAGTGAAACACATTGTGCAAGGCAGATAAAATAAAAGATTACAGAACAGAATTACATCTTGATTCACAGTGCTGAATCAACAGCATCTCAGGGGAAATAGAACTGTTCTCATCTGCCACAATCTGCTGCAAGTGCTGGATACTAGCCTGTCGAGCATCTAGTTGATCAGTCAGCAACATTTACTGCTGCAGACCTTCTGTTTTTTTTTTTTTTTTTACCGCCGTATATCAACCATCATCACATTTAGGAGAGAATACAAGCCAGTCACAGCAGTCGTGTGTTATCTCCGTTGCCCAAATGCAGTTACATCTCTTGTACAGTTTTGTATTGATCATGCTGTAACAACTGCAAAACAAAACTATTATGGAACCAATATTGATTTTCCTTCATTCTTTTTATTTTGCCAGTATGGACGTAAAACAGGTCTTAAACTGCATTCATGGTGGTCTTAAAAATGTCTTTCAAAAGTCTTAAATTTAACCTGTTGAGACCTGCAGAGAACCCTGTGTGTGACAGTCAGTTCTGTTTGTTTTTTAACATCGCAAGAACCTCTTATTTGATCACACCAGGGCCCAGTGTTTCAAAATCTTTAATCTACATCACAATTATCCAGCTTTTGTAATACCTTTTTTTGCTATCCTAGATAAAACAGATTTCGTAGGTTTTGTCCTGGTTTTTCAAATAATTTTTAAATAGAGATTGAGATTGAGATTGCACAGGTTCAGGAAAAGAGATCAGCTTGCATTTTATTGATATTCACTTATCTGCATTATTGTTTACAATCTTTTTGTTTTAGTTTTTATTAGTTTCGGTATTAGTTTCAGGTTTTTATTATAATATGGGGCTATTTGTTAGGGGCAAGATTTCAGACTAGTTATTACAATACAAACTCACTGACTAACAGTCATGTCAAAATCCCCGTCTCAATAAACATAGTTTTCATTTAGCTAGTTTTTTTTAAATTTCAGTTAAGTAAAATGATTTTTTCACACCTAGTTTTAAGTTTAGTTTAAGTGAGCTGTAATAACCTTATTTTCTCTATCCACCTTGAATCCTTGCTGGATGTACTCTTCCAGTGGGATCAGGATCATCCTGATTTTTAGCATCAAAACTATCCTAATCTCCACATTAGAGTTTAGAAATACCCCAAAACAACATGTGGTCTGGATTCTGGTAGGATTGGATTACCAGATGCGTATCCCAATTTTGTATTATCTGGATCACATCACCAGTTTTGAAATACCCAATTTAGAGATTTAATCCTATCCGGAGACTCCTGATCTAGATTAAAGGTTTTGAAATACTGGGCCCAGGTTATTTAACAGCATTTAACATGATATAATGACTGCCAGATACTTAGGTAGCATATACTGTATATACATTTATAGGTCATAAAGTAATGGGGACAATTACAAATGTTTTATGGTGTTTTGTGCCATGTCTAAAAAATTTTACCCAAAACTCCCTCTGGAGGTGTGGAGTTTCACAGGACTAGGAGCTTTCCTAGCTGAATGTTCAAATCAGTATTTAATTTCAATAGGATTATTTCAATGCTGCTTTAGCTGCTGGAGTCCAACATCCACATACATGACAGCACTACCAAAACAGAGCTGTGAGCAAATTCATCAAGAGATTGACTAAAAGATCCCAAGCTCACTGTAACATGCACATGTTTTAGCCCAGATTGTATTTGTTCTTTATGAGTGATGAAACTGAAGTGCAAATTATAAAGAATGACTTAAATACAGATCAATACAGGTTCATAATAGCTGCTGCCCAATAGAGAGCAAGGAACCTTTTCTGGGCTTGTATTATCACATCATATGTTAATGTTAATGAATTCAATTATTAGTCTTTTTTAGTATCTATAGATTATAGACTATGGTATTTCAAGAGGTTGTACCAGTGATTCCCAACCTTCCTTCCCTAGGGGATCGAGTAAACTGCCTAATAAGGGACATATATTTTATGGATATTTCATATTATATTCAATAATAACAAACACAGTAGAGAGCAACTGATAAACTGTACAATGAACCCAAATAGTGAACACAATAACTGCAGGAAGTTTGTGTAAAACCAAAGATTTGGATGAATTTTGAGCAGATTCTAAGGGAAGTTTAGCTTAGGCTCATACTGTGACACATAGAAAGCTGCTTTATTCATATAACTAAAACTTACCTTTTTTTTCAACCAAGCTATTAAAGTACAGAGATCTTGCAAACAAAAACGACGCAGGAGATTTAACAAGACCTCTCCAAAAAGAAAGGTAAGGGTCAAGTTTTGTCTCAGCAAATCACAGCAAACAGACACACACATCGGACTGTTAATCTTGTATTGTAAAATCAAACCTTTCAAGCAGAAGGGCACAAAATGCATTTTGGGATAAATAAAAGCAATAAATGTTGACATACACCTACACTGCAGTGATGGCTTTTGCATTTAGTCTGTTTTCTCTATGAGCTGCACAGAACACAGTGGATGGGAATGAGTCATATCACCACATCCTGTGTGAACACTGAAAATCAAAGCATCTGAAGGGGGGGGAGGGGGGCTTTCTGATGTCAACATAGCCATTAAAAGCAGTGCAGTTTATGACCAAAGAGCAGCACTGAAAGAGAAAAAGGTTTATCATTTAGACTTTTGTGAACCTTTCCTCTAAAAGCTAGCAGATCCATGAGGACAAAATAAGCATTTAGAAACAATTTAAAACTCTGTAAGCAGTGTCTGGTTAAATCCCTTAAAGATGCTTCTTGACACCCATTTATAAAAGTTTGGATATGCAAGGAAAGTTTGCAGATATGGTCATAAAAAGCCTATGTTTTACTTGCAGAGAGTCAAAGACCAGCAGCCATGCTCTTTGGGACTCTATTGTTCTACGTGTGAAAAGGAACTACTTCCTGTGGCACATGGTAATTTCTGAGAAATCCCTGTTATGTTTTAGTTTATTCACCGCAGCTACACAAGTCAAACCATTACTGAAAGTGAATGTGTTTGATTGCGAACGGTTGACTGAACTTTCACTGTCATGACCTCATGTTTCAGGTGCGTTAGGACGTGCTGTCTGTGAATCAGAACATCTAACCTTTCTGAGAAAAGACACGTTAAGTCCTGCAGCAACGACCTGCTGCTGCCAGTGTGCACCACATCAGCCATCAGTACCAGACCAGTCAGACTCACTGCTGGTAGTCCGGAGTCTCACCTCACTGAAGGCCCTGAGGACTGCTCTGCAACCCTACTGTTTAACTGGTGGGTTGACAGCTTATTTGATTACACAAGAATTACACAAGAAGTGATTGTTGCTAATCTTGTACTACAAGAAAAGTTCCTAAGCAATACGTGTTTTCTATCAAAAAAAGGAAACGCCATCGCACAGTGACGATGTTAACCTTTCACTTTGATCCTTTTATGGCACATTTTTTCCCCTCTAAAGTCAGTAAAGTTGCACGCTTTCCCACTGCTTCTCATTCATGCAGCATATAATGCCATCTGGAACCCCGAGGAGGGCTCTGTTACCAGATTTCTGCAGTGCAAAAGCTGTTTGTCTCAAAGCCCCGTTCTGTCTGCAGCTTTAATTGCAGCAGAGATCCAGTACCCTCGAGACACGAGTCAAGATCAGGTAAACTTTAAGAATACATGTGAAAATATACATGTGCACATATAATACATATATAATGTATATAACTCATAAACAAAACTCCCCATGCACTGCCAACAACAGTCCGGTGCTGGTAGGTCACAGGACCTCATAGTTCAAAATCTAAATTAGCAGTGTGTGGTGGTTTATTTAGAGTTCTTTACAAATATAATGTAATTTAGAGACCTGACTTGTCATTTGGCAGAAACAGCAGTCCTTTGTGTTCTGGTTCAGGAAAATTCAGGTTGTCTTGACGCCTGTGTTTGGTTTCAAAAGTCAAACACTAATCTTGGAGGAATTGAATGCAAGTGAATCATTTATTTGTATTTTATTGTTTATCTGTATAGGGACAATTATGTAGCATTAAAAATGCCACACACCCCAGCAATTAAAGCCTAAGCTAATTCACAATGCCCATAGATGGGCCTCTAAAATACATAAAACTCAACAAATACACAGGAGATAGTACAATTCACAAGAAATACAGACGGAACAATACAGGACACAAACTAATGCATTAAAGTACCATAAAACAGGACGCACAAGATCATTCATGTCTGATCCCTCTTCTAAAACTGTTTTTATTTTGAGTTTAAAATGATCCCAGTCAGGATCCAGTTTGAGTTCTGTAGGTAATGCTAGTTCAGTGTGTTGTCTGTGGACATTTTCATGCGTTGTAGCAAGCAGCCCCACTATTGGGTGTGTCTTATAAACTGCTCACCACAAAAGTGAAAATAGGTTTTAACACATCTCCGGATGTGTGTGTTTGCAAGTTTGTGTGTGAATGTTTTTTTTTCTTTCTTATTTAATTTGTTACTCACAGCAGAAGGAATAGTGTTAATATAATTTACATCTTTTTGTATTTCCTGAGTTATAGAAAACCTGTACTGAAACAGGAAGTCACTGTATTATTATTTCCTTTCTCGAAAGCCATCAGCAGTGTGTCTCTCTGAAAGGCATTTAACAATTGAATTGCTCCAGTTAAGCTGTTACTGTATCTGCAAATGAAACCAGAGACTTATTTTTTCCAGCTTAGAACAATGACTCAAGATCTCATTGGAGGAAAGTGGTTGCACTTGGTGGCTCTCATGTGTAAATTCCGTTTTAATATTAACATCATCCCATCCTTAGTGCCTAATATTAGCAACCTAGCTAACTTTATGCAGACATTGTAGTGTTTTTTATTGCGATAATATCGTATATCGTATTATTAACAGCTTAGTTGTTTATGGGGGGGATAAACACAGCATTGGATTGGTATCGGCAGATAGTCAAGTGTGGTATTGGACATGAAAAAGTGGGATCGAGCCATCCCAAATAACAAGACAAGCAACAATGTTCTAATGCATAAATATTAAGACATGCGGTTAGAGGCCAGATCAGTTAATGAGTGATGAATGAATCTGGCAATTAGAAATAAATCATTAAGCTGTATATAAGCAGCTTTTTATCATACTTTATTAGATATACCTGAATATATTTGTAAGGGGCTAAAGCAGAATTTCACTTAGTGTATAATCTTTTGTTAAAATGGTATTCATGGGGCGCCCAGATAGTTCACCTGGTAGAGCTGGCCCCCCATGTAACAAAGCTGAGTCCTTGCTGCAGCGGCCATGGGTTCGACTCCAACCTGCGGCCCTTTGCTGCGTGTCATCCCCTCTGTCTCAACCCTTTCCTGTCACTCTAGGGGCGGCTGTGGCTCAGAGGCAGAGCGGGTTGTCCACTAATTGGAAGGTTGTTGGTTCGATCCCCGGCTCCTGCTGCCACACGTCGAAGCATCCTTGAGCAAGATACTAAACCCCAAATTGCTCCGATGTGCATCAATGTGTGGATGAATGAGTTAGTTTCCGTGTGATAATTTGCCATCACTGAGTGAGTGAATGTGTGTGAAAGGGTGAATGTGGCACGTAGTGTAAAAGCACTTTGAGTCGTTAGAAGATTAGGCGCTATTTACTTTTCACTATTAATTGAAGACAAAGAATGCCCCAAAAAGACAACATACAATAAAATAATAATAATATGAGTCACCAGTTCTGGCATCGGAGAAACAGCTGTGCTCCTGGGTGGGTGGAGAGCTTAAGGATTTAACATTATCTATTTCAGAAAATACATCTTCAAAAAGTCACTAAATCCTAGATTCAGGTTTTCATTACTTATTACCTTAATAGATGAGGCTTACTTACTTATGATATTTTCCCTATTGTCAAAAAAATCCCATGAAAAGACCAAAATTAACAATGTGTTAGTCGATCTCGCAATACTTTCTTACTTCCCTACTTCTTTGGCTCTCAGCCCAAAGCCCACTGGTTCCTACAAGACATAAACAGGACAACAAGACATTAAAGAACACCTCACAAATATATAGTTTGATTTTTTCTTTTTTTAAAAGTAATTTCACGAACAACCTGCCTCTGTAGTTTTAGGCAACACTGCATTTGTTGCGGACTATTTTTAGCCAGGGATTAAGACGTTACTGGTGCACCAGTGAGTACTGACGTAGGACTGAGCCAAAGTAAATACAGTACGTATCTTCTTGTCAACAAAGGAACGTGTCACCCAGTGCCATAGTGTGGCTCATTTATGTGTATTTCAGCAATAATGGAGCTCTATGGCCCAGAAGAATGAGATATATTTCCTGGGATTTGTTGGCAATAAAAAAAATACACATATCATCATAATACAAATATCACATATCATTTGTCCTTTTAAAACAAGAAAAAGTCTGCCAGTGAGGGTTTAATTCAATTTATTCCCAGTTGTAATTTGCAATACTGTCCAGAAGGTTTTGGAAATTTGCTGTGAGGGTAAAACAAGGCTCTACACAGGACTTTTTCCAAATCTGACAGGGAAAAAAAGAAAAAAAGGACTTGCATCCAGCCAGGGTGTGTTTGACTGTACTGGTTTCTTTTGTTGTTTGTCACTTGTACCTCTAACTTCTACAAAGTGGACACATGCTGTGACAGGAGGCGTATCTCAATCAATAACCACTCCTACCCGTCCATAATCCGATCTACAGTGGTAACAGAGCAGAGACACAGTCCAGAGTATCACAGCTTCTAGGAATGTCTTAGCAGGTTTTTATGGCCTCATTCGATTGTAATCCTTAAGCTGCTTAATGATTTGGTTTACAGGCAGGAGATGCCTCTGTGTTGCTACATTGTGGCCATATTTCAGTCAGTATGAAAATGGTCTGAAAGTTTTTGATTGAATGAATATAATGCGTTGATTTTATTCATCAGATCAAATTTTATTACAAGAAAAATCATTATTTTTTCAAAAATGTGTGGGAATCTGTGTGTAGAGATAGATAGAAAATCAAATATGTAGCATTGTATCTGTTAAGGCTGCAAACTGAAGCGTTCATCGATGAACTTGGTAGTGTAGTAGAGGAGCAGTACAATATTTATGGTATTTCAACATTTTCTACATTGTGAAAATCTTTCTTCTTCATTTTGACTTAAAACCTAAAAAAAAATGTTTGCAATGTTACATATTTATTTTTTGGGGTTTGGGTTTTGGGAAAATCTGTTTTATTTATTTTTGGATCATAAAATACTCATGCTTATAACTGAATTTTATTATTGATTCCCTCCCCCGTGACTGTTAATGTTCAGTTAACTGTCACTATACCGATCAAACCGTTACAGTTCCCGGGAGCATCTAGCTGTATGGCCCTTTTGTCCAGTAGACTTTTAGATGCCAAACACTGTTGAGATTATCACCATGGCCTGACAGATTAAAAAGATTAACCCTGATTGACTGGTAAATTGAGGTTTAACTGTAACTTTCCAACTCTTTGGTACTTTCAAATCTGAGTTATGTTTTTGCTTTTTGGCTGAAAAAATTACACATTTCCTCATGGATTTTATAAACAAGTGCGTCACAGATGTATTTTTTTTTTTATCGAAAAGCCTAAATGAAAATACATTTGTCAAGTTGATAAAAAAGCAAAAAACAGGACTGTGGATTGCAAATATGATTGTAGTTATTGTGGAAATTCTTGCTTCAAAGGACTTGATCTTAGTTTGATAAATCTACAAATGAATCTTTTAATCAAACGGCTCTCTGCTGATTGAACATTGTATTCATAAGTAGGATGTGCTGTCATTCAAATAAGTTCAAGACAGTTATATACCGTTCAATTTACAGTCATCTGATGATGCCGTTAAGTCGGAAAGCTCACTGACCGATTATAGGGTGGATACTGTCATATGTCACACTTTTAACACAGTTAGTAAAACCTGTGTGCCCTGCATCAGGGAAAAGCATAGTCACACAAACATCACAAATATTCCAAAGTAAAACTGAGAAAAGAAAGGTTAAAAATATAATTTCTAATAGTGCTGGGCGCTATGACCAAAATTTGTATCCTGGTATTTTTTGACAATATAGCGGTTTCACGATATATCACCGTACTTTAAATGTATTTATTTATTTATGTATTTACTGGACCTTTATATGGGGTTATAGTGGCTTATTACACTGCCAGGAGTACATAGAATATAAAAACACTTTAATGCCCTCATGTATATACTGAAGGCTTTGGTTACTATAGGCTTTTCTTGGCCCCACACACTGATACAATATATGAAGGAATCAGAAGCAGTTGCACAATGTAAACTTTCTTTCGTGTAAACTGCAGTTTAATAAAAATAGACCTTAAAAATAGAAAAGATGTGCAGAAATTTTAACATTTTCAAAACAAATGATTTTAAAATAGTTGTATAAACCCATTGAACTTAAAGTATTTAAGTATTCAAAGAGATATTTCTCAAATGTTCTATTGAACAAGAAACAATTGCATTACAACACTTGTTTCAGCTAAATTCATTGGAAATTGGTGTACTGGTCCATCTGGTGTATCGGCCAGCATTAATTCATCGGCTGTGAAAGTCCTCAAATTAAGTTACAAGAAAGTATTTTACATTGTGCAAGTCCAGACCTTGCAGAACCAAGAGTAATCTTCTGCTCTGTCATGTTCT